CTTAGCCAAAATATAAGGATTATATGGTACAACCCATCTATTGTCTAGTACAGACCCTCTGATCCTAACAGTAACACCATCGTCACGACGCCTATAAAGTGTATATGAATCACTACCTAATGAAGTATGCAAAATGTATTCTCTTGGATACTTGTTTTTACAAATATGGTTTTTTTATGCACACATTTGTAGAATTTAATTATCCACAAGGACCATGCATTATATGTCTGACCACAGTAGCATGCAGGTGATGATCTCTCTTTGGATCTGGTATTTCACAAGAAACAATTTCGTCAACTTACATAGAATTAGTAATCTTAAAACTCATTTTAAATATCAGGAGAAAATGAACATGAGGTAGACCTCTTTTTTGGTATTCAATTACATACACATAGGCAGCTATAGACCCTAAAATTTCTCTCTTTATAAAATCTATTTTTAGTTCTTCAAGTTTTTCTCGAAATATTCGGGCTAACAAATCTGGCCTATTTTGTATTTTATCATTGTGCCTCAATTCTTGTTTAATTTCGGGCTAATTTGGATTGCATGTCATTGTTAAAAATACATCAAGTTTTCCATACCTTTGAACTAAACACATTGCATCCATATATCTTTTAGTTAAATTTTTAGAACCCCCAATAAACCCTGTAGGCAACACAATTGATTTACCAAGAACTTCAATGATAATAAAGCTTACCACGATCTTCCATCTCTATAAGTTGTTCGGTCGAATCAAATGTGATTGATTTGCATGACATCTTCATGGACTATTGAAGTATTCAAATTTAACTTTTCGATACGTTCATGCCATCCATGTTCTCCATAGGTAAATATTAATGGATATTGAAGTGAATCATAACAGCCATAGTAGTAATTTACTCTATGTGTAGTATTAGAATGTCCATAAATTAATATATCACGAGTATTTATGCTTGTAGATGGATCCTCATCAACCCACACTACAGCCACATGTTCACATGACGACATGTTATATACTCTTTGGTCGAGATCCGGATCAGACCTCAGCACGATACGACATAAATTAAAATAAAAAACTTCACTTAACGATCGAAAGAAACGACAATATGGGTTTATCTTTAAGATATCTATTAACTTTTTTAAAGTTGATTCACTTAACCTATCTGAAATTCGTAGTCTATTACTAATTTCATTATCAGTATCGTAAAAGTATAACTGCAAATACGTAGGATTTCCATCAGTTGGTAGAAGTGGATTTATAAAATGGTATACTTGTCCCTGAACTTTGAAGGTATATACACCCCTATTATTCTTGTACAAATTTTTATCATATTTAACCCTAAATGAAGTGAATGCAAAATGGTTGTTGTAAGTACGAACAACTTTTTAAAAGCAATCACCTCACATGAAGTAGAAGTAAATAACTCATACAATTCAGGGGGAACACTGTTCAGTTGTAATTTAACATTTCCATCACAACAAAAAAAACCATTACTTTCTTTGTAAAACATTTTTGCACCACAATTTTTACAAATTGTACAAGACGGAAGAATATAAGGTTCAACTAGAATATTTCGTATATCAATTCTCTTAGAACGATCTAAAATGATAGCAACTTGTGAACCACATTGAGATTGCATATTGTCATTTTCAGATTACTTTGCCATGCCAATGTTTTCATCAACATGAAGATCTTTCTGTAATTCGACAGACTGATCAATAGAATTTAAAATCATAAAATTAGTATAAGATCGCCGAAAGACAATAGAAGTGTAAAAATTGAATTCAAAAATAATTTTACAAAATAAGATGAAAGGAAGTGTACTACAACATGACCAAATAAATAGCCGAATGCAAAAAAAAATTTATAAAAAAATTATTCAATCTATGAAACCTGCTGTGAACTCAGGACAATATCTCATCCTTCTTCCTGACATATGTGTAGAAGTTGTAGATACTTCTGTAATACGAAATATTTATATTAAAATTATGTAAAAAAAAAGAAAGTAAAAAACATTAAATCAACAAGGAATCACATTTAAATAACAAATCATACCTATATGTCTCTTACGCAATTTGTCTTTTTGTACCTTTGGTTGAATTACAAGTTCAGAATCGTGTGCTTGTTTGGATAAGTCCAACTTTCTTAAACGAGCACGTCTACTCGTAAACCAATCATAAACATTCATATTAGAGATTTTCTCATGCAACGATAGTTCGGAGACTATCTGCGTGATCCTTGACTTGCTTGGAATTTTATTCTCTTGATTAAATATAGATTCGAGAACTTGAAGTTGTGCAGATCTAGGCGTCCAATATTGCTTACCCATTGTATTACTGAAAGAAAGAAACCACAAAAATTAACTCAATAAAATTCGAAACATAACTAAGAGTATGCACATTGAAAACAATATCCTCAGACAAAAAAGCTAAAAAATGTATACACTTTCATGACCTGAACAATAGGAAATATATCGAAAAATAAAATAAAAGTAAAAAATGAAACCCATCAACAACAACAGGTCTATCGTCGATCAAAATATACACGCAACTTGAAGATGGGGAGAAAACAGAAGGATCGGAGGGATGAGAAAGAGATGAAGAAAATAAGGGCAATGATTAAAATAATGACAAAGACAAGGTGCTTGCATAAATGAAACGAAAACAACGTCGTTGGAAGAATTAAAAAAAAGGTAAAATGAAAATGACACGGACAGAGAAATGAATAAATTATATTCACCTAAGTATTATAGTTGGAAGAATAAAAAAAAAAAACTTTCTCCTCTCTTTAATTTTTGGGAAGAGTAAGATCAGGCTTTTTTGGTAACATATTGTCCATTTCTACAACCAGTGAACCTCTTGTCAAATCTGGAGAAAAGGAAAAAATATAGGAAGTACATATCCTCTAATTTAAATAGCTTCTCATGTTTTCAAAATTCACCTTAAATTACTCCTCACATAAAATATTTACATATCTTTGCTTGCAGGTGCTCAACTAAAAGAAAATCAGGTGTCTATCTACTATTTCTTGATTACCCTAGCTATTTTTTCAAGACTAAATTTTGCACTTTTAACTTACATCTTGTTTATTGAATGTAGATGGACTAAATTTCAATCTTTAATTCTATTAAAAATCCAAATCATGAATTTCTTACCAAACTTCATGATATTCTTCTACAACGACATACATGATATTTTCTTTTTTAAATCATATACAAAGTTTATCCTACAGACATGAAACTTCCATTAACAAACTTTCTAACTCGCCTATACTACAAAATCTACCTTAAAATCTATATCAAGGCCTTTACAACGTAAATAATGGAGTTCTTCTAACAAAATTTTCATTGTAGTATACCGAGACAGAATGAAGGTGCCACATCGTTTATTCAGAATCATTACTCCTTCACAAAACCATAATACCAGTCTGGTTAGTCACACAACAATTGCTTCTCTCACATTTGAATAGATGCATTCTTAATATCTCTCTTATACTTTTTAATGTATATGTATAGATGCTTCCCAAATCCTTTGTCAACGATTGGAGACACTAACTTGGTGACACAGTACAAGTAATTGCATATGATAGTATAATTGTAACAATATGATTGGAAAGAGATGATGGAAGAATATATTTTGCCGATGGATGGGAACAATTTTTTGATCATCATAACTTACAGGATGCTCATGTTTTGATATTTAAATATAACGGAAACTCCACATTCAAATGATCATATTTGACCATTCTGGATTAGAGATCACATATGACTCTGATGTTCCTGAAGAAGACAATGTTTCACATACAGATAACACTGTATTTGAAATAACACTAACACCTCATCACAACAGTCATCGAGAAATTGTAGGTGTCATATTTAATATCTCATTCTACATTCATCTCTTCCACATAAATTTGATTCCAAGATCAATAATTTATTCATTCATGGTTTCTAGTGTATATTAGGACGGTTCTCTAGATACCACCTACCAAGAGGTGTGCGAAGTGTTCAAATCCATTATTCTTTACATCACAACTGGGAGCTCGCCGCAAATTTATGACCAAACAGTCTAAAAAGACTTATGACTATAGGCTGGACAGATTTTTTTACAGAAAAAGAACTACAAATGGGTGATACATGTGTTTTCAAATTTTTGAACAGTGAACCCCCAAAGTTTATCGTCTACAAAAAAGGCCATGTTGGTGGAAGTTTGGCGCGTCTAAGAGATCTCTTTACTTTCTTCTAAATGAATTTGTATACACCGAAAATATTTTATTTTCATGTTAATCTATTCTGCTATTTCTACACCCAATTCTATTTACTCTCTTATTTACCAACTCATTCCATCCACAATTTAATGATTCCCAAATATTTAAAATTAAACAATACAGCACTATTCTTTCACTGTAATTCCTTAATTAAAATATAATGTTTATAAGAAATTTGCACACATTACGCAAATAGATACATTGTTCCACCAAAACATTTGTTTTATATTCACTTACATAGAAACTACCTTAGGCGTATATTTCATTTTATTTTTTTATATTTTGATACGGATCCATTGCATACACCAAAAAAAAAAAAAAAACATTAACAGCAAAAATTCAAAATGAAACCAATTCACACAAAATGCAAGAAAAAAAATCAATCAAATTCCGTTAAATGAAATTGAGTTGCAGAACGTCCAAAATTTTCAATAAAAACAAGAATAAGAACTAAAATTCAGAACAACCAGACCTCAATCAATCCATACAAAATATACAACAAACAATCCTAGTTTACTCCAGAGTTTTTGTACAACAAATAAACATCAACATCGACGTTCAACGCTATACAAGAAAAATGAAAAATCAAATCACATGAATGTAGATTTCCCCCTCAGAAACCATCGCAGAAAAAACCTCTAGATATTACTGCTAGCACGAACTAAAGAGAAGCTGAAAATATTCTCCACCACTACTTGCAAACTACAAAAAGGCTAGCAGAAATAACGTTGTTATATTAGTAAGTGCCAAAAAAACATGTGTCAACAATCGAACAAACAAAGAGAACAAATACAATAACGCAACGATTGGAGCATAGAATGCAGAAATCCCATA